AAAAAAAAAAAAAAAAAAAGCAAGCTCACCGACCCCCATGGACCCTGGTTACTCTAGGGCCCACCACCTCTGTTAGGACGACGCCCTCACACTGACATTCCCGTCCATCCTTCCCCGGACAGACACAAAGGAGCCACATGGGTGAGAATTTGGCTTTTTAGATGCACAAAGTGCAGCTCAACAAACATTTATTGGGTACAGGCTAGGTGCTGGGAACTCACAGGCGAGAGGAACTGTCTGTCACTCAGAATGTCCCAATCCCAGGGTCTCCCCAGGGTCCCACGTTTCTATGGGCACCAAGCCAGAGGAAGGACGGGTTGTACAGCTTCACGGAGGTGAGGGTGGCCCCCGATCAGGCAGGGGGAAGGTTTCTGAGCCCCAGGGCTCCAGGCCATCTTGAGTCTCTCTGGTCCTCCCCATCTGCCCAGAGGAGGGCTGCCCAGCAGGCATGGAGGTGGTCACCTGTGCCAACCGCTGCCCCCGCTGCTGCTCAGACCTCCAGGAGAGAATCATGTGTCAGGACGACCAGGCCAAGGAGGGACCCCCTGCCTGGGCCCCAACACCCAGACCCGGCACTGTGGCAGCAGCCTTGCCTGGGGCCACTGGACGCTGCTCCTGGGGCCCTTGGGGGTCCTGCTCCCGCAGCTGTGGCCCAGGCCTGGTCTCCCGCTCTGGGTCCTGCCCCTGCCCGCTGGCCGAGGCTGACCCCACCTGCAGTGGGACCTTCCTCCACCTGGTCACCCAGGCCTGCTCCACAGGGCCCTGCCTGGGTGAGCGTGCATGGGAAGTGAAGCCTGTTTTCCTACCTGGGGAAGATTCAGGGAGTCATGTGTTTTCCCAACTCCCAGATTATCTCCCCCAGATATACCTGTACTGTATCTATCGCTTCCCAATATTTTTTTTTTTAGTTTTTTTCCCTTTTTCACCATCAATCCTTTAGAGCCCTTTGAGATGTGACCCTTGCTGCTGGGTGACAGGGAAGCCAGCCAGCTGGGACCTTCCGGAACCCTTGGCTTCCTTTCGCCCTTTTCCTGCTCAGGGTGTTGGCTGGGGCTGGGATAAGAGGGGAGGGCAGGTAGGGGAGAGGCTGGGGAGCCCAGAGTGGCCCCAGGCTGACCCCTTCTCCCCAGTTTGGTCTCTAGAGGAGTGTGTGTGGAACATCTGGACGCGACGCTCATGCCAGGTGCTGGTCCAGCAGCGCTACCGACACCAGGGCCCAGCGCCCGGAGGGCCCCCCGCACATGACTGGACGGCCACTTCTGGCCTTGCCTCATCAGCAGCTGCTCTGGTGAGGCCCCAGGAGCAAGAAGCCAGGGAGCTGAACACTGACAGGGGCCTCCGGGGCTCCCCACTGGGCCGCCCTGCTCCCCTTAGAGCGATGCTTAGCGTCCCCAGGACCTCAGAGCGGTTGCCCGCGCCTGCACTGAGCCCGCCCTCGGCAGCGCAGTTACCCCTGGCCTTGCCCTCAGCAGCCCCCTCCTCACAGCTGCTCCTCCCCGGCCCCCTGCCCCCAAGCCGTCACAGTTTTCCCACTTGGCAGCCGCAGACCCAGCTGTGGCTCTATGTCTGCTTATAGCTGCCCCCAGGCACAGTGGGTCTTGCCCACCTCCTGCCCTAGCTGCCCTCTGTCTCTGCCCCTCTGCCTCCCATCTGCCAATCCCTGGAGCACCTGCCAGTGCCAGGCCCCGAACCCCATGCAGCTCCCTGGCTCTCCACGGTCCAAACCGTCCTCACCCATCCCTGGAGGCACCCACAAGGGCTGAGTGGGTGCTGGATGGGGTGACAATGGTCTGTCCTTACATGTAGCAGGGGGACAATCTTGCACTCTTACTGGGTCACCTCAAGGCGATGTGATGGTACTATGCGCTGTGCTCTCTGGGCTTGGGGAGCGGAGGGTGTCTCCGGGCTGCCCCCCACCAGCCTGCCTGCCTCTCCCCGCAGAGGACAGCTGCGCACCTCCTTCTGAGTTCCAGGCCTGTGGCTCCCTCCGCTCTGGGCTCTGTGCCACACACCTGAGCCGTCGGCTCTGCCAGGACCTGCCACCCTGCCAGCCTGGCTGCTACTGCTCCGAGGTGAGGCGGGCAGCTAGGGGAGACGCCCCAGGAGGAGGGGCCCCCTGTCCACTCCCACGCCTCCTTCCCTCCGTGACGTCCAAGATGAACCCCTCTCCTGCAAACCTGTGGTACTCGGGGCCTTGACAGTTCTCACATTCTGCCTCGTGGCCGCTCACCCATGCCTTGGCTCAGCAGCACACACGTGCAGCTGCTGTGGGCCCGGCACGGTGCTGGCACTAGGGTGACGAAATGATTGCCACACAGCCCTGTCCTTGTGTCCCCTTCTGCACAGGGGCTGCTGGAGCAGGCTGGAGGCTGCATTCCCCCAGAGCAGTGTAACTGCCAGCACATCTCCGGAGAAGGAGCTGGGGTGACCCTGGCCCCCGGGGACCACCTGCAGCTGGGCTGCAAAGAGTGGTGAGTGTTGGGGGCGGGGAAGTGGCACCAGAGCGCTGGGACCAGAGAGTGGAACAGGGAGGGGGAGGGGTTCCCCAGGGCAGCCGCGCAGAGAAGGCCGAGCTAAGCCCCACAGGCCCGGTCCCAGCTTCCTCTTGCTCCAAATGAGCCCAGAGCCCAGGTTACCCCTACATGAGCCCCCTGCCTACCGCACTGGGCTGGGTCCTGCCTCCTGAGCCCACCCTGACTGCCCCCTCCCACAGTGAGTGCCAGCGTGGGGAGCTGCAGCGCACCAGCTGCAGTGCACCAGGCTGTCAAGGTAACTCGGGACCAGGGAGACCAACTGTCCCCATTTGCCCCGGGTAGAGGGGTGGGTTTCCGGGACTTGGAACTTTCATTTCTAGGACCAGGAGGGTCCCAGACAAACCAGGACGGTTGGTCACCCTGCCCTGGCCCCCTACACCTCCCTCAGCCTCTCCCGTTTCCGGACCTTCCTGGTCACAACCTGAGCCCCTCCCTCCCTATCTACTGTGGTCTCTGGGTCTGGGGGAGGGTCCCTGGGAAGGATGCTCATGTGCCGCCCTTCCTAGGTCTTCTGCCTCTGAGCCACTGGTCCAAGTGGTCACCCTGTGGGCCCTGCCTGCCCCCCGGCATGCTGGCCCCTGCTTCCAGGGCTGCCCTAGAGGAGCGCTGGCCCGGGGGCCCAGATGACCTCCCCTCCACCTCGGTCCCCACGCTGGCTTCAGAGCAGTACCGCCACCGCCTCTGTTTGGACCCCGAGACGGGGAGGCCATGGGCCGGGGATCCAGACCTCTGCACTGTGCCACTCAGCCAGCAGCGTCTCTGCCCAGACGCTGGAGCCTGCCAAGGTGATGGGAGGGGCGGAGGCCACAGGGGGAGGGGCCTGGAATGAGGGGGAGTCGGGCCTGGCCAGGTAGGGCTGGGCCGCGTTGTTCACATCAGCGTCCCAGCAGCTAGCTGGCCCGCTCGCTCTCCAGCTCGTCCCCAAGGCCTGCTGGATTTGAGGCTGGAAGGTCAGCAGCTGCAAGGGGCGGAAGGGGGCTCAGCTGGAGGCGGGAGGCAGAGGCCTGGGGACCGAAGCCCGCTTCTTCTCCCCAGCTTGATGCCAGTGGAGTCCTTGGGGGGCCTGGAGCCGCTGCCAGGTACCCTGCAGTGGGGGGTTCCAGCTGCTCTGGAGGAGGCTGCCAGCGGCCACGGGCTCAGACTGAGAGCTGCAACGTGGGGCCTTGCCCAGGTAGCTGGTTCCAGCATTGGAGGAGGGGCCAGGGGTATGGCACCTGAGGGGGATGCTGCCTCTGGCCCTGGAGGTGCCCAGGGAAGGCTCAGGACTCTCGAAGTCCCCACACAGACTCCTACCTTCTGGTCCGCAGGAGAGAGCTGCGAGGCCCGGGACCCCGTGCCCACCCTGGACTGTGCCAGCCACTGCCCAAGAAGCTGTGCCGACCTCTGGGTCCGCGTGCAGTGTCTGCAGGGACGGTGCCACCCAGGTGGTGGGCAGACGGCTGGGCCATGAGTTATAGGGCAGCAGAGTGGATCTCTGAGTCACTTCCAGCGACCGGCTGGGGGTCCTGCCCGAGTGAGCCTTAGTCAAGACAGGCTGCATCCTAAGGATGCTCTCAGGAAGCCTCAAAGTTTCCCAGGGGGTCTTCCCTGGTGGCGCAGTGGTTGAGAGTCTGCCTGCCGATGCAGGGGACTCGGGTTCGTGCCCCGGTCCGGGAAGATCCCACATGCCGCCATGGCCGCTGAGCCTGCGCGTCCGGAGCCTGTGCTCCGCAACGGGAGAGGCCACAACAGTGAGAGACCCGCGTACCGCAAAAGAAAAAAAAAAAAAAGCTTTCCAGGGTGGTGCCCACACCCAGGGCAGGTGGAGAACAGGTCACGTGGGGGGAGGGGCAGGACGAAGGGTGCTCCAGGGCTGCCTGAGGCTTTGGTCTCCAACTGGCTAACAGAGGGATCCGTCACGTGCGCCCACCCCAGCCCCAACCCTGCTTGTCCTCCCCGCCCGCTCTCCCAGGCTGCCGCTGACCCCTGGGCAGCTGGTACAGGATGGACGCTGTGTGCCCATGTCTCCTTGCCGCTGTGGCCTCCCCAGCCCCAGTGCTTCATGGGTGCTGGCTCCGGCCGAGGTGGGTGGCTGGACTGCAAAAACTGGTGTGGCTGCCGGCCGGCGGCCAGGCAGGGACACGGGGAGCTCTGGGTGGGAGGCTCGGGCCAGGTCAGGGTTATGGGCCTTGCTGGGGAGCAGAGGCTCTGTTCACCCTGACTCTCAAGGGTCTGAGCCCTTTTTGCACACCGCTGCCACAGCACCTGTGTTAACGGGTCCCTGGTGTGCCGCCCCCATGAGTGTCCAGCCCTCGGGCCTTGGTCAGCCTGGAGCAGCTGCTCTGCTCCCGTGGTGGGGCACCACCCAGAGACATCGGAGCTGCAAGGAAGGTCCTGTGGGGGCACCGTGTCAGTCCCAGGACACGGAGCAACGGCAGGAATGTAACCTGCAGCCCTGACCCGGTGAGCACCCAGGGCGCTGGGTGCCTGCTGTTCCCTGCCGTGCTGCCGAGCCCAGGGCCTGTCCTGGCTGATCGCCATGGCTGGCGGCGGGTCCCGAGGCAGCCCCCTCCCTGGAACACCACCTCACTCTCTGCGCTCCCCCCAGAGCGCCCACCTGGCCAGGTGCTCAGCTCCTGTGCGACCTCGTGCCCGCGCCTCTGCTCGCATCTGCAGCCTGGCACCCTCTGCATGCAGGAGCCCTGCCAACTTGGCTGTGACTGCCCTGGAGGGCAGGTGGGTGTGGGCACCATGCCCTGACTCTCCCGTGAGGGAGCAGGCAGGTGGGGGGAAGGAGGGGATGGTCCAAGTGTAACCGGAGCCTGCCACGCACCGGCAGCTGCTGCGCAATGGCATGTGTGTGCGCCCAGCTCTCTGCCCTGGGGCCTCAGCTTGACTCCTGAAGAGCAGGGCCGGGAGCTACCCCCAGGGCCTCTGCTCACCCAGAACTGCACCCGCTGGTGAGGGCTGGGGGCGTGGGTGGGGATGGAGGGCGGGGCTGCTGAGAACTGGGGTGGGGAGGAAGGCGTGGCAGGCATCTGAATGAGAGCGTCTGTCTTGCCAGCTTCGGCCAAGGTGGAGCCTTCAGCTGCCCCCTTGCTGGCTGTCGGGGTGAGATGTGGGCTGCCCGATCCCTGCTGGTCCCTCCAAAGCCAAGGCCAGGCTGGCCCTGACAAGGGGAGAGGGGCCTGCATGTCCTAGGCGGTGCTACCTCCACCTACCAAGCTGGGCCCCACGAGTACTTGGGAGGGTGGGTAAGAGCAGAGAGGTATATTCTGAAACCCAGAAGCCTGGAGGCTGCTGGAGCCGAGTGGGCAGCGCTGGGGACAGGAGCAGGGACCCAAGGGTGCCCAGTGTGGGAGGGGGGAGAATCGAGGCTGGACCCAGGGCTGACCCGAGTGGTGGGCTGGGTGGTCTTCCCTGGCAGAGTGCCCCCTGGAGAAATGTGGCAGCAGGTGGCCCCTGGGGAGCTGGGGCCCTGTGAGCAGACGTGCCGGGAGCCCAACGCCACGGAGACTCAGGGCAGCTGCAGTGCGGGCATGCTGGCACGGGCACTTCCACAGCCAGGAGAGCCCCTGCGTTCCTGCAGACCACTGTGAGTGCTGGCACCACGGGCGTCCCCACCCGGTGAGACACCACGGCCCTCCATGCCCCCTAGCCCTTCTTGACCCAGGCCTCTGGTCCACCGATTTGTCCCTTTACCCCCACCGGCTCCTCCCCTATACCCGGGCGCGCGGCAGTGGGCAGCTTGGCCATCAGCCATCACATTGGGACAGTCTCTGGCCCCCGGAGGCCCACCTCCCCTCCTGAAACTCTTGTTGCCGACGCCAGTCTCAGGCCACTGCCCTGGCCAGGCCCCCAGGCTGGGCTTAGGGCTGGGGTGGGATAACAGAAAAGTCTGCAAGCGGAGGGACGGAGAGGAGGCTCTCCCCACTCTCCCCAGCCCGGATCCGAGAGGCAGGAGGCCTGTGAGAGCTGCCGCTGCATCCGCAGGAGGAGCATCGGCACCCAGCACTGCCCCCTGCTCACCTGTGCCCAGGTGCCCACCTGCAGCCCTGCTGCCCTCTCAGAGGGCTCCCCGGGCTCCTGCCTGGGTCCCTCCCCAGAGGCTGGTCTCAGAGCCTCAAGCAGGTGGTGTGGGGCCTTGGGCCATCCTCCTGAGAGCACTGGGGACCACTCCCTCTGCAGGGCGAGGTGGCCGTGCAGGAGCCAGGGAGCTGCTGTCCCACTTGCTGCCAGGAGACTCCGGGTATGCAGGGGACCTCGGGCACCTCCTGCCGCGCCTCTCCCTGCTCTGGGCCCTTCTTCCAAACCACTCCGATGCCTGCCCGGGGAGGCCCGCCTTCTCCAATCCTGCCCACCATGGGGATCAGCAGAGTGAAGACCCCCCGACTGCTGCATCGCAACGCCTGGCCACCCCCTCCCGCACCTGCTCTGCTCAGGCCACACTCTTGTCGCCCTCATCATGGCCTTCTCCCGGCCCTGCCCTCACCTCCTGCCACTCACGTGCCCCTCCCCACAGAGGAGCAGCCCTCCTGCTGGTGCCTCACCGAGCTTCACAACCTCACCAAGGGCCCCTGCTACCTGGACCAGGTGGAAGTGAGCTACTGCAGTAGGCACTGCCCGTCCAGCACCAACATCCTGCCCGAGGTGAGCAGAGAGGGGGGCTGCTGGCCCAGGGGAGTCAGGTCAAGCGGCGGTCCGCAATGGCCTGTGGTTGTGAGCCTAGAACCCAGCCAAGGCCCAGAGGACACAAGGGAGAAAGTCCATCTCACCGGCATACAGCTGATCAGAGCCAGGGGTGAGTTTTCACCAAGGTGGTGGCACACCTGCCATCTGGCCCGGTGACGGCAGAGGGGCTTGGGCTCCGGAGCCTGCGGCCTGCCTCCGTCCCTGCCAGGGGTCTATGGTCCTGCTTTTCCCTGCTGTGGCTCCCCACAGCTCCTGGTGCCTGCCCCTCCGCCCACTGCGCCCCTCAAGGCAGGCAAGCCAGGACGACAAAGAAGGGCACAGAAGAGCTACGTTAACCCACTGTTCAGCAAGTGCAGGCTCGAGGGACAGAGGTTTTCCACATTTTGAACGTAGCCTTGTCCCAGAATACTGATGGCACTCCCTTCCTCGCTCGTTCTCCTGCTGCGGACCTCCTCGGGGGCCCTGTGCCCACCCTGACTCCCCCAGCCCTGAGCCTGGAGTTCTGTGGCTCCGGCTCCGTTCTGGCCAGGGTCCAGCCAGAGCGGAGCCTCACTCAGCTCCTGGCCCCGCCTCAGCCCGCCTGGCCAAGCTCATCTGTTCCTGGAAGACAGAGGTGCTTTCCTACCTGCCCCTCAACCCTTGGCCACCCTCCTGCTCCCCTGGGTGCTCCTGGAACCTCCTGGGAATGCCTCCCAAATCACTTCTGGATTTATTTATTTATTTATTTTGCGGCACGCGGGCCTCTCACTGCTGTGGCCTCTCCCATTTGCGGAGCACAGGCTCCGGACACGCAGGCCCAGCGGCCATGGCTCACGGGCCCAGCCGCTCCGCGGCACGTGGGATCTTCCCGGACCGGGGCACGAACCCGCGTCCCCTGCATCGGCAGGCGGACCCTCAACCACTGCGCAACCAGGGAAGCCCTGGATTTTTTAAAAATATAGAGTGAGGAGAGGAGAGCCGTTAAGAAATTTGGGGTCGGGGGGAGGAAAAATGAGTGATAGGATAGAATCAGAGGGAGGTTGTTTTTTTTCTTTTATTGTTTTTTAACTTGGTGTTGTGTGAATGTATTACCTATTTAAAACTAAAGTTAAATTAGAATTGTACATAAAATTAAGTCAGACATCCAGCGGGGCTTATAGAGTTACTATATAATCATGGAGAAAGACTGTCCGCTTTGGAATGAGACTCACTTTGCACTTAGGATCCGCCTGTGCAGTGTAGGACTTCATCATTTTTAGTTCCAGAAATTACTAGTCTGTCTCTTCAACTAGACCCAAAAGTAGACCCTGTGTCTTTTCCCTCTGCTGCCAGGATGCAGTGATGAGCGCATTAAAAAGCGTTCGTTTAACCTGCAGGTTTTTGGACGCTCCGTCGGGTTGGGGCTGGAACGAAGGAGGTGGGCTTCTCCGAGAATGGGGGCTTGGTGGTGACACATCCCTCTCCGGCCCGCTGCCCTCCCTGCTTGGCGAGGAGATCTGGGATCTGAGATCGTGGGATCTGGCCCTCCCACCGCCCGGCTCTTCTCGGATAGGAACGGCCAAGAGGGGGAAGGCAGGTGGTTCTGCCGGTCATCCGCAGCTGCCAGTGCAGCGCCTGCCAGGGTGGGTGTGGGCAGGGCCCTGGGGGGGCGGGGTCTGGGATGGGGCGGGTCCGGGTCGGGGGAGGGGCTGGGGCTGGGGTTGGGGGAAGAGTGCTGGGGTCACCTGGGGCCTGGAGTGGGCTAGGGCAGGCATGACCCTACAGCCCCTCGCCGGATTCTACTTCCTAGAGCCCTTCCACTCCACTCCATTCCCCTTCTTAGCATTCTTGATTCTTCTGCAATCATACGTAAGCCTGGGTGTTTGGAGTCAGGCATACCTGGTTCAAATCCCGGCTCATCTGTTTCCTTCCTTGCTGAGTCTCCAGGACCTCATCTTTACAACCGGGCTGACAATCTGCACAGGCTTGTTGGGAGGACTTGCTGAGAGCCTGCGCGTGAAGTGCCTTATTCTTGTTAAATACCTGGTCTGGGATAACCCGAGGCCACACTGCGTGGCAGGTGAGAGAGAAAGAGATGGTAGGATGCTGACGCCGCCTGGGTGGAGCCCAGGGCAGGAGCTCGCCTTTGCTCTGCGCTTCCTCCTGGTGGCTCTTCCTTCCTCTTCTGCCAGTTTGCTCCAGCCACCGTCTCTCCAGCCCCATCCCTTTGGGCCTGATCACTCTGCCTTTTGCAGTTATAGCCTATGAAATTCACCCATTCTGAGTTTACACTTCAGTGACTTTTATACAAAACACAAGTTGCACAAACATCACCACATTCCAGTTTTAGAACATTTCCATCATTTCAAGCCCATTTACAATCAGTCCTTCCCACCTCCAGCCCCAGGCAATCACTAAGCTGCTTTGTACCTCAATAGACTTTTGCCTTTTCTGGACATTTTTCCTATAAATGTCTGGGTTCTTTGGATTCGTATGATGATTTTGAGATTCATCGGTCAACCAAAGTAAATAATGCAGGAAGCTGCAAATAAGTTTATTTGGAGTTTTAAAAATTACAATTCAGGAGACACAGATTTGGGTAACTCTGAAGGAGAGAAAGAGTCAGGGGTTTATAAAGACAAAGAGCCACCAGGTTGTTAAAAGTTGCCTGGAGAGAATCGTGATCGACTCTGATGTGAGTCAGAAAATATTTGTCTGTAAGGAATCAGGAGTTGTTTTAGAGAAGGTCTGTCAACTGAAGAAAAACACACCACCTAAAAATTGCAGCTTATGTTTTATTTGGCGACCTTACTGAGGAGTATGGCCCGAGAGACAGCCTCTCAGACAGCTTTGCGGAACTGTTCTGAAGACGTAGTGGAGGAGCCGGGACATATAGGAGTTTGTGCTGGAGAAAAAAAATGCCGTCGAGCATCGAAAGATTACTGCTACTCACAAAATAGAGATCTCAAGTTAATGATTTTAGTGCTTTTCTATATATGGGAAGATGCAAGAGTCCGGGCTCACTGAAATTATTCCTTAGCTATGCATCTTAACTATCTAGGATCAGTGCCCTGTTTTTCTCCATCCTGAAGTCCCCGCAGGGCGCACCATCAGGGTGTGGCTATAGTTGTTGATGGACTGATGACCAGCAACATTCCTTGTTACTAAAATGGCAGGCAACATTGTTTTGTCCACAGGTCCAAGAAGTAAACAGATTATCGTAAGTAATTTTAGGGTAAGGGTCTGGTAGGTATCTTGAGTTTCCGGCAGGTATTCTAGGCGACTTCATCAGGTCAAAAGATCAGATTCTATCCAGGCTGAGACATGAATAAGTCACACTTCCTTAACGGCCTCCTGGTTCCATTTTTTTTGTTTTTGTTTTTTTGGCTGTGCCACAAGGCTCGCGGGATCTTAGTTCCCGGACCAGGGATTGAACCCTTGGCAGGGAAAGTGCGGAGTCCTAACCACTGGACCGCCAGGGAATCCGCCTGCCTCCATTTTCGAGAGCTCTCTTAACAATACTGACTCCATTTTGATTTTCCTTTCACACATCCATATTATAGAATGTCAGCGGCTTGTTCCTTTTTGTTGCTGAATAAGGAATCCAGTGTGTGGATATACCATATTTTGTCTACCCATTCACCAGCTGATGGACATTTGAGTACTTTCTTGGTTTTGGCCTATTATGCATAAAGCTGCTATAAACATTCATATACAAGTCTTTGTGTGGTCATGTTTTCATTTCTCTTGGGTATATACCTAGGAGTGGAAATTGTTAGGTCATATAGTAAATTTATGTTTAACTTTTTAAGAAACTTTCAAACTGTTTCCCCAGGGGCTTGCACCCTTTTACATCTTCATCTTCCCATCCCTGCCCCTGCCCTGAAATGTACCAGGGTTCGTTTCTCTACATCCTTTCCAGCACTTGTTACTCTCTGTCCTTTAAAATTTTTTTATTAGCCATTCAGTGGGTACGGAGTGGTGTCTCACTGCGGTTTTGATTTGTATTTCTTTTTTTTTTTTTTTTTCAGTATGCGGGCCTCTCACCACTGTGGCCTCTCCCGTTGCGGAGCACAGGCTTCGGATGCACAGGCTCAGCGGCCATGGCTCACGGGCCCAGCCGCTTCGCGGCATGTGGGATCCTCCCGGACCGGGTCACGAACCCGTGTCCCCTGCATCGGCAGACGGACTCCCAACCACTGCGCCACCAGGGAAGCCTGATTTGTATTTCTTTAATGACTAATGACGCTGAGCATTCTTTTTCATGTGCTGCTTTGCTATTCAATGTTTTCTTTTCAAGCTTCTTTTGCTTTCTGCCCCAGGGCTTTTCTGACCACAGAGAGTGTCCACCTGACCTTCGTACAAGCACAGCTAGAAGTACAACTGTGAGGATGGAATGCAGTTAATGCCTCTTGGGGCAACCCTCAACTCCTGGGGATGGGAGCGGCAGATGAATGCTCAGCTGCCACCCCCCGCCACTGTTCAAACGGACTATTATTGGGGGGCATTCTGTATAATTCTTAGACGTGGAATGAAGCCCCAATGCCTACTCTAAAATGCACCCTTCCGTCAGTTTTCTCTCCTCCCTGCTTCACTCTCCCAAGTCCCAAGGTCTTCTCTCTGGGGTCACTTTCCAGGACCAAGTCCTTGTGTCCAGCTCTGCTTCCAGGATGGGGTGGAGAGGGAGGAAGCCACGCTGGATGCTTCTGCTCCAGTGCCCAGTGATTCTGTGTATTATCCTCTGTTCCTTCGCATTCCTCAGCCTGCCCCCACTCGTGAGAGTCCCATCCAGCGACAATTACTGGCAGAGGGGAGAGGGATATTTAGCTAATACAGTGGCCACAGGAAGGGGGACTCTGGCAGGAGCAATGAGAGCCTGAACTGTTCTGGGGGAGGCCCGAAGTGGGACCCCTAGAGCGCCAAGTAAGTGGGATTCCTGAAAGGGCTGCCGACAAGCAGATGCAGTTTCTGTGTGTTTCCTAGAAACTGTTCCTTCTCACACATCCTACTGTTTTACTTCCTTCTCCTGCCCTCCCGGCTCTCACGTGTTCACCCACACCACTCCTGTGCCGCTTCCCCTCTTCCTCTGGGATCTGAGTCCTCCCATTTTCTAAATCTGTCAGCCCCTGCTTAGCCCCTCTTTCTTTCTTGAATAGTGTGGATGAGTATCTTCAATTCCTTCATAACTTCTCCCATTCTCTAGAAAATCTAATTCCTAGGTCAATACTGAAACCTATCTTCTCTCTCGTATACCTGGGTGTAATGCTTTGAAAGAGCATTCCCAGGGAATTCAGTGGTGTATCCCCCAGTGGGCCGGTGGAATGCCAGTGAAGAGCCTGGCAGGTATCTGGCTGTGTTAGGGGAACTACTAACTGAAACCACCTGCCCCGGCCAGGCACGATAATAACAATTCGCATGAGTTATCTTACAACAGGAGGTCCTGGTAAGGGACTTGGAACTAACAAGCTACCACCTACCAGAAGAATTCTGGAAAGGTCAAAAAGAGAGAGGAGACACCAGTCCATATGTCCTACCAACCTCCCAGAATCCATCTTGGTTGAGCGATGCACATGCCAACAGGAAGGACCCTGAGTCAGAATGATTGTCCAGAGACAACCCAGAAACGAACCCCATTACCATAAAACCTGAGACTGTGGGCCATGTGGCAGAGCAGTTCTCCCGGGTTCCCTTACCCTGCTGCTCTCCGCCTGGGCACCCTTTCCCAATAAAGTCTCTTGCTTTGTCAGCACGTGTGTCTCCTCAGACAATTCATTTCTGAGTGTTAGACAAGAGCCCACTCTAGAGCCATGGAAGGGGTCTCCCTTCCTGCAACAGGTGCACCAGGGATCAACCATGGCAGAAGTGGTGACAGACCCCTAACATGAGACAACAGAGACCAATGGGCGTGGGCAACCCAATCAAAGCAGCATCTCTGTTGTTTCAGTTAGCTCCCTCTGTGTAACAAATCACGAACTTGAAACAGCCCCTGTTTGTTACCTCACAGTTCTCTGCTTAAGGTCTGACAAGGCCAAAATCAAGGTTTGGGACAGACAAAGCTCTTATTTGGAGGCTTTAGGGGAGAATCCACTTCCAAACTCATTCAGGGTGTTGGCTGAATTCGGTTTCTTGCGGTTGTAGGACTGAGGTCCCCATTGCCTCGTGGGCTGTCAGCTCTCTCTGTTCCTTCCCCTCCATTTTCAAGCCAGCTATAGCACATCAATTCCCCCTTATGCCTCAAATCGTTTTTACTTCCTTTCTGCCCCAAAACAGAGAAAACTCTCTGCTTTTCAAAGAGCTCAGGTGATTATATTGGGCTCACCCAGGTAGTTCAGGATAATCTTCCTATTTTAAGGTCAATTGTGCTGTATAGTGTAACACAATCAAGGAAGTGATATTTCATCATATCCACAGGTCCCAGGAGTTAGGGTGGAATGTGTTTGCAGGAAGGGCATCCAGAAATCCCTCCTCCCATAGTAGGGCTGCATGGCTAGTCAGGGTCTCAGTTTGGTTTCAAAGGCCGTGGAGGGGGGGTTGCAGTCCCTACTTCATACCAGGTGGCAACAGGCAACCAATGATAATCATTCATTTTTTAAAAAGATTTATTTATTATTTATTTTGGGCTGCGTCGGGTCTTAGTTGTGGTGCGCGGGCTCTTCCTCGTGGTGCATGAGTTCCAGAGTGCGTGGGCTCTGTAGTTTGCAGCACATGGGCTCTAGTTGAGACACGCAAGCTCAGTAGTTGTGGCATGCAGGCCTACTTGCCCCGCGGCATATGGGATCTTAGTTCCCTGACCAAGGATTGAACCCACGTCCCCTGCATCAGAAGGCGGATTCTGAACCACCAGGGAAGTCCCAATCATTCATTCTTAATCACATATATCCCTCAGTGGGGAAGGACTGTCAGAAATATTGAGGAAAGGAAATGTGTAAAAGGATTGAAATTCCTGATAATAAAGCAGCTATAATAATTTGATTGACAACATGATTTCTGTCCTTGCAGATAGGTTACACTTGCTATGCACTTGTGCATTCAACTGCTGACTAGCACATCAACTTGAATATCACTTAAATACTTAAAATCATCATGTCCCAAACTGTGCTCCTCATCTTCCCACAACTCCACTCCTTCCAGTTACTCTACTTATGTAATCCCTGTTTTATCCACCCTCAAAGTCTGTGGAGCCAGAGAAAGCAGCTGGCCAGAAGCCACACTGCTGAGCTAAGCATTTGGGACAACACTTTTATTATTTTTTTTAACATCTTTATGGAGTATAATTGCTTTACAGTGTTGTGTTAGCTTCTGCTGTATAACAAAGTGAACCAGCTATATGAATACATATATCCCCATATCCCCTCCCACTTGAGCCTCCCTCCCACCCTCCCTATCCCACCCCTCTAGGTGGTCACAAAGCACCGAGCTGATCTCCCTTTGCTATGTGGCTGCTTCCCACTAGCTATCTGTTTTACATTTGGTAGTGTATGTATGTCCATGCTGCCCTCTCACTTCATCCCAGCTTACCCTTCCCCCTCCCCGTGTCCTCAAGTCCATTCTCTAGGTCTGCGTCTTTATTCCTGTCCTGCCCCTAGGTTCTTCAGAACCTTTTTTTTTTTTTTTAGATTTCATATATATGTGTTAAAATACAGTATTTGTTTTTCTCTTTCTGACTTACTTCACTCTGTATGGCAGGTTCTAGGTCCATCCACCTCACTACAAATAACTCAATTTTGTTTCTTTTTACGGCTGAGTAATATTCCATTGTATATATGTGCCACACCTTCTTTATCCATTCATCTGTCGATGGACACTTAAGGTTGCTTCCATGTCCTGGCTATTGTAAACAGTGTTGCAATGAACATTGTGGTACATGACTCTTTTTGAGTTCTGGCTTTCTCAGGGTATATGCCCAGTAGTGGGATTGCTGGGTCATATGGTAGTTCTAATTTTAGTTTTTTAAGGAACCTCCATACTGTTCTCCATGGCGGCTGTATCAATTTACATTCCCACCAACAGTGCAAGAGGGTTCCCTTTTCTCCACACCCTCTCCAGCATTTATTGTTTGTAGATTTTTTGATGATGGCCGTTCTGACCTGTGTGAGGTGAAACCTCATTGTAGTTTTGATTTGCATTTCTCTAATGATTAGTGATGTTGAGCATCATTTCATGTGTTTGTTGGCAATCTGTATATCTTCTTTGGAGAAATGTCTATTTAGGTCTCCTGCCCATTTTTGGATTGGGTTGTTTGTTTTTTTTTCTATTGAGCTGCATGAGCTTCTTGTATATTTTGGAGATTGATCCTTTGTCAGTTGCTTCGTTTGCAAATATTTTCTCCCATTCTGAGGGTTGTCTTTTCATCTTGTTTATGGTTTCCTTTGCTGTGCAAAAGTGGGACAACACTTTTATGATAGTCATTTCCTTGCTTTCTGTAGTTTTACCCCTATGTATACATAATGGGAGGGCCACAAGGAAACTTTCTGGAGTACTGGAAATTTTTTATATTTGATCTGGGTGTTGACTACATGGTACACATGTAAAAATACATTGAGCTGTACATTTAAGATTTCTGCACTTTACTGTCCATTATTTGTATTATTATTATACATATTATATCCATATATATTACAAGCAAAACAACACATTGTTCTTTATATAATTTTACAACTTTTAAAGAAGATGAGAGAAGAATGGAGAGTAAATATATGTATTTAGAGTTTGTTTTTCTCTCTTCTATCTTTTCCCCTTTATATTCACCTTCTACTCTGCAATAACTAAAGTGCAATTTGCCCACACCAGTCACCAGCTAAAAACTTACTTCCAGCCCTTAATTAAGGCAACACACAATGCCTTCCCCTACACACACTGTTTGCTCACCTCCCTGGCTTTGCTGAGGCTGTTTCTCCTGCCCAGTTGCTCTTCCTAGCAATACTCCTCTCCTTCTCCCGTTCTAGTTGGCTCAGGTTTTGCCATATAACAAAATACCATACACCAGGTGACTTAAACAACAGAAATTTATTTTCTCACTGTTCTGGAGGCTGGAAGTCCAAGATCAAGGTGCCAGCATGGTCGGGTTCTGGTGAGAACTTTATTCCTGGCTTACAGACAGCTACCTTCTCTCTGTGTCCTTACATGGCAGAGAGAGAGGGCAAGCTCTCTGGTGTCTCGTCTTATAAGGACACCGATCCCATCACGAGAGCCCCACCCTCATGATCTCATCTAAACCTAATTACCTCCCAAAGGCTCCACATCTAAACACCATCACATAGGGGTTAACACATGAATTTAGAGGGGACACCATAACACCTTCTTTACGTGTCTAACTCCTACTTCTTGTTTTAATTCAACTCAGGCAGCACTTCCTCAGGAAATCCTTGACTACCCCATATCGTCCCACCACCGCACCCTAAGGTGACAAAGTGTGCTTTAATAGAGTCTTGTGTTTACTTCTTTCGTTGCACTGTCTCTTCATTTTGTAGTTATGTTTATGGTCTGTTTCCTCAATAGACTACGAATTCCTCGGAGGCAGTTTCTGTTTGACTCAACTGCGCATTCCCAAACCTTTGCACAGTGCCTGGCAACATGACAGGCAACCAATGATGTTTTTTGAATGAATGCTACAAAAAGTATTTACCTCCTTGATTAGATACAGTCTGGAATCTTCAAGGTTGACATTCGCCCTAAAAATGCGAGGGAATAGACGCAAACACTAGCAATCTTATAGCCCAATCAGAGTACTTTGCCCTTCCTATAGGGCCTGGGAGAGCGTCG